TAATAATAATAATGCAGAAAATGTTGTGATACCAAGTACTAAACTATGGAAGCTCATTTCATACCATTAAACAAATTATTTATTTTGAGTGGCAGAATTGGGCTTCCATACTAAACTGTTTAGGATGAAGAAATGAAAGAGGTGCAAAGACAAGGAAAGTAAAAGTTCACTTTGATGACCTGATGCTCTGCAAACTTTAAAATATTCATAATTTTCCTGTCTGATGTACAATGATATGTTTATGTTTAGCTTCACAATCTTTATTTTATTTTATTTTATTTTATTTTTTTAAATACACTAAATGTTTTTGGATTATGAATTGTATTTGTCTTTAAAGGAAACCACATCATTTTTTGTAAAGTTTTGTAAAAGGTTCAAATATAAGCTTTAGATAGGGGAGATTTGATTAAGTTAGTAAGTGCGCTTTAATCTGCAAAGTAGGGGTGGAATGTAGCAAATACTTTGTTTTTTTGTAGTTTAAAAAATACTCTTAGCCAGGGGGAAAAAAAAGAACAATGTTGCAAGTTTAATTGGGAAAAAGAAACTGCACTGAATCACATAAAGCAGCCCATAATAAATACTACACAAAATAATAATACATAATATAAAATAATTAAAAACAAAAATAGCAATAGAATGAATAGATAATTTTTTTCAGCACTAGTTTTCATCACTGAGTTTTATGGTGGCTTTTTTCTGACACACTTGGAGCTGTTATCAGACTTTCTACCTGATTTGGAGATCAGCTTTTTCTAAACTGGTGGAAACAGTGGTCACCCTTTTCTCTGCTGGCTATCACTGATGTGCTCAGACCTCAGCTGCTGAGCAGCAGAAGGTGATTTTAATAATAAGGAGCAGCTCTGAACTTTTAGAAGTGGAATTCCTTTTCATCGTTTCCCTGGTAAATAAGAAATTACAGACATCCATGAAGGATCATGGAGGGGTAAGTAAGTTTGGTTTTGGTGTTAGTAAAATGTGACAGAATTTATGTTTTTGACCTTTAAGTGATTTAGCAGCAGCACGTTCTGAAGAACTGTTCTCGGTGTCAGTGAAGCATTATCATCATCAAACAGTTTGCTGCTGCAGTGCACACAACAACCTGCAGCAGAGAATTACAAAAAAAATAATTACAGTTTATACATCTGGGAGCATCACTGATGAGGGAGTTTTAAAATTCTTATTCTTTTTTAAACTATTAATGTATTTTTTTAGATTGATAAGAGCATGTTGCTAAATTTAGTTGTTGGTTTTGTTTTGCTTGTTGGTCAACTAGTGAATGAGGAGAGAAAAGGTAGCCATGAAATCAAAGCATAATGTTGCTGCATTGAAGAACTGTCACTCCAATCTAAAGGTAAACAACTTTGATCTTCACATAAGGACAGTAAATATAAACTCTCAATAAAATTGTGAATAAATGTAAAGCTCAGGTTTGCTTTGAGATCATTCAAAAGGTTTAGACAAGATAACAATTTTGTTTTCATGCTTGAACACATTTTACAAATTTTAACCTCACTTTTATAAAATTGCTTCAGTTTGCTGCAGCAAGAGTTCATGTTACTCTCTGAAAATTAGGGGTGCAACAATACATGTATCTGTATAGACCCGTTCAAAACAGTGAAGATGCTCTGAAGGATCCGTGGATCTGCATTCGACTACTCCACCTGGGCTGCATTGTCGAGTGCAGATCCACTGAGAAACTTGCTTTTTCTGCAACATTTAATTAAAAAACTGTACTTTGGTTAAACAAATCTTCGTTATTAATTTCAATAAATTACAAGTTAAGAAGAGTGTGGAAATTTGTCTTTTTTGTATGGAAATAATATTGAACTGTGAGACTAAAGTATCGAACTGAACCAAATCGTGAATTTTCTGTACCCCTACTTACCCCTACTTACTGGTCAGTTTTTGTCATTTAAATTATATTTTACATGGTTTTGAAAATCCAATTTTTATCCAGCTTTACAATTGTTATATATGAGTAGGTTTTTAGACTTATGTTGTTGAATATGGGGAAGTTCATTGTTTAAACTTTGAGTAACAGAAAATTTTCTTTAGCAAAGTTTGTTCTTCAAAGAAACAAGTCATAACAGAGTACATAACTGCTTGTGCCGTATCGGATTAAGAGGGAAGTAAAACAATGATTGTAAAGCTGCTTAATAAAAAAAGTAGAAGGAATTCCAAACACATGTCCCCTATTTCTACTGAATAATGAAATCCTTCAATGACTCTGTAGTTTTATGTCATATAACACTAACTTGTTCATTTTGAACTTTTTGGATCTTTGTGGGAAAAGATTGTTTCTGGTTTTAATTTAGATGTAAATGTTAAAAAAGAAGCAATCTGTGTGTATACTGTGTATAATGTGTATACTTGTTTTTTCTAACTGTAAATAACTGAGTATGTGAATTCTATGACAAAATTAAAAAAAGTAAAAGGATGTAATAGTCAGCGGAGTGGAGGACTCATTTCCACTATTATTGTTGGGGGGTATGCTGTGGGTTTCCCTGCAAGTCATTTTCAGAAATGATGCTGAAACGTGCATATATGACTTCGTAAATTTTGATATCAGATCATTTACCTAAAAACAAGAGTTGTAGCTGTGTACTTTCACAGTTGATTTCTCTTTTGCTAGAGCAAATTATGTCATTTTATTTGGCAGGGGAGCGGTCAAATTATTGTGAGTGTCATAACCCCTTAACCC